GAGCCTAAAATCTACAAAACAGAGGCTTCGCATTTAGATTTCACCTGGGCTCAGGATGCTGTTCCGCTGATGCTTGCCGTTGCAATTTAGCTCCATGGAGACCAAAACCAAGAGCAACGTCCCTCCTGAGTGTTAATGTTGCACATGATAGTGCATTAGGCCGAGGCACTGTCAGCTGTCTCTACAAGAAACCAGAGGCCTGGGGATGATGGCAGTCCTCTCTCTGAATCCTCTGGAGGGGGATCTGCAGGTTCAGAGCAGCAAGAGAAGCAATTAATGAACAAGAAGTGAAGGGCATGAACTCACTCTTTTATTTTAGATTTGGAGTCTGTAGCTCTGTTTCCCAATCTGAGCCGCCTGGTTGTCTGTTGCCTACATAAGAAGATACTTTCTAAGGGGCCATTCACACAGAACGCGTTTTTGTGTTTTAAAATGTAAAACACAGGGCAGTGGGAAAAAAGACACAAAGTCTAGACAAACTTTTTTGAACTTCTTCGCCACATTCAAAAACGTCCGTCTGGCACATTTACATTGAAATACAATGGAAAAATAGTGCAGTGGAAAGCAAAAACACACACGGAATGTTTTTTTTTTGCACCTAAAAATGCAAGACATGAGGCAGTGGAATGAAAAAAAAAATGCAAGGCCTAAAAAACTTTTTTTAAAAGTTGAATTTTAGTTAACTCTTAACTAAGCACTGTGTTTTTAGAATGCCATGGCATATGTGAGATGATGCAAAGGATGCGAACACAACGATCAAAAACATTTGTCTAACGCGTGTTTATGCAGAAAAACTATGGAAAAGTAATGGAATGCAAAAAATGCAAGACACATGGCTGTGGAATAAAACTAGTTTTAAATTGAGCGGCACATTTTTATGATGCATAAGACTGCAAAAAATGAGAGACGCGATCTGTCTAGTACACATGAATGGCCCCTACATGTTTTTGCATTTAAAAAACATGAGACACATGGCAGTGGGATGTAAAAAAAAAAAAAGGTATATAGACACGTTTTTTAAAAGTTGAACTTCTTTTAACTTGAGCACCACATTTGTAGTACACCGTGTCATGCAACACTGCAAAAGTAGCTTGGGTAATGGTCAAAAATGTCTGTCTTGTGCATGTTTACACAGAAATACAATGGAAAAGTAGCACAGTAGAATGCATACAAGCGTTCGTATGGCGTATGGCAGTGAATACATACTGTACATAGTTGAATACATTTTGAATTAAGAGAAGCGTTCGTGTGGTGTGTGATTTCATTTCAGTCCAGATGTTTCCTTGAAAGAAAACTGCCTAAGTAGCCAGTAGATACCAAGGCGGTTCACCAAATTTTGGAACAGAGCTATTGTGTGCCTGTATATCTAAATAAAATCGTGGCCTATGATACAAAAACCTTTAAAAAAGCCTCAAATTATATAGTTACTGTCAATGCTACATTCAGACGTCCAATAAGAGAACACATCCAAGTAGTGAGCGACTCAGAGCGAGTGTGCAAGAGAGCCACAGACTGTGTGTGTGTGTTTGTGTGTGCTGTTTGCATGCTGATCATTTCAGAACATGCTGTCCTGGGACTTAATTATTCCACGCACAGCCACGTCACTCTCACTGAAGGAACACTAATTGGGGGAATCAAAACACACAACAACGTGCACAACTCCCCGTGCTACATAGAGACCTCAGCTGACTGCCATGAGCAATGTCACTTGAACAGCCCAGCAGATGTGCCTTTCAGTGCTCGCTGGTCCCATGGCAGACTGGTTGCAGGTTATGCTCTGTTTGTTGGTTTGTTGTTTGTTTTCATCTATAAAGGTGTTACTGAAATCTACTTGCAAAGAGTTGTGGGGCTGTAGAGGGATAATACAGTACTGATTTATCATTTTTTTTTATAGAACGCCAGATGGAGTCCACTGCACATGTGCTAATGATGTTAGCACCAAGGGGAACATCAGGACTGTTTAACATGTTCAGAGAAAGGAGGCGACAATATCTGGCATCCAGTATCAAAGAACAATATCCAATATTCGCATAAAACAATAACCTGTTTAATGCTTTGGTATTGGTATGTGTTTATGTGTTGTGCATTATGTGTGAGAACAGAACTAAGCTCTCTTACATTCTGCTCATGTACTGCAAGGCAGGGTTATTATAGTTAACTAAAACCCATAGAGAACATGTGTGTGTGTATATATATATA